CCTCCCTCCTCCTCTCTCCTCCCTCCTCCTCCCTCCTCCCTTGCTCCAAGACATCCCCGCACGGCCGGGCCCCCACGGCCACCTTCCCTGCCCGAGCTGCAGATGTGGCGGCGCGGCCGGGTGCCGGGCGGCAGTGCCAGGGGAGCCTGCGCCCCGTGAGCCTCGCGCCCCGGCCCCCGCCCGCCCCGGCCCCTCCCCCGCTCGCCCCCCGCCACCCCCAGACCGCTGGAGCCCGCAGCCGGGAGCCGGGCCGCCCCCGCCGCCGAGGTAGGAAACCCCCGGGTGTCGTGCCTTGGGGACCTGGACCGGGTGGGGGGGTCTCGCCTGCCGCTTGGGGGTTGCGGAGCCTGAGGGTCGCCTCCCTCTCCCGCGTCAGCGCCTCGCCCCGGGCCATTGTGAGCCCTTGCCGAGGCCCCTGCGTTCGCTTGCTCACTGGCTCGCGCGCTCCCTCCCTCGCCGGCTCCCTGGCCCCGTCCCCGGTCTCTCGGTCTTTCTCCTCCCTCTTTCCCTTCCTTCGTCCAGAGGCCGGGCCGAGCCGCGGTCGGGGCCGGGGCGGGCGCAAACTTCAGCGGGGAAGTTGGGCGGCTGCGGTGGGGGCACGCGGCGAGGTGAGAGGGGGCCACCCTGCGCCTGAGCACGAAGTTGTCTGGGGCAGCCGGGCAGCAGCCCCTCCCCAAGGCTGCGCCCGGGCTGTTTCTAGGAAGGGGTTTGGAGGGTGCCTTCCTTGTCTCGGGACGTCTCCCTCCTGGTGCCCCTCGAACGCCCCTGGAAGGGCCAAGAGGGGATTATCCTTGGGGGTCAACACTGGGAGCTTGGTGCTCTCCTGCTTTTAGGGAGGAAGCAGGTCAGGGATCTGGCCCGTTGGAGTAGGCAAGGGTAGCCAAAGGCGCCTGAGGTGGGTCTGGAGGGGTAGAGGCAGGTGCATCCCTCCCTCCCCCCAGGGAGATGCCTGCGTCTGCTTCCCGCTGGCCCCCTGAGGTGGGGCCGGAATCCAAGCTGGCACCTGGAGACCTTGGCATACTGCCCTGCTCAGCAGGGTACTCAGTCCACAGCAGGGCAGCATGCCGCCTGTCTGCCTGTCCAGGAGGGCCCGCCCAGCTGGGCCAGAGGGTGACCGGGAAGCAATGGTTGCAGGGAGCTGCCCAGCCCTGCCCCAGGGCCTGGGAAGCTGGAAAGGATACTGGGAGGAGCCCTGGGCCCCCAGCCATCACAGCCCAGGATCTTGGCTTTGGAGGGAATGCTTGACATCAAGGGGACAGCCAGGCTGGCTGAGGACCTGGCCAAGGCCTGGGCTCCAGCGGGTCTTTCTGGGCAGGGTGTGATCTGTGGTACTCAGAGACTGGCACTCTGAGTTGTCAGCAGCCATCCTGCTGTTCCGGCATTCTGGAGGGAAGATGCGGCAGGGAGTCCAGAGACCTTGTGCTCTAGAGTGCTTCCCAAAGCCTTCAGGCTTAAGGAATGAGAAAGTGGCCCCTTCAGTCTGCTCACTCATCCACCCCTCCCCAGGCCCCACTGCGGTGCCACAGTACCACAGCTGTACCAGCCCAGCCCACACATCCCTCCCAGGTGACCTCGAAACCCTCCCCCTCTGCTCCTTCTCCCATCTGGGACCAGGCTGGGCCTCCCTGCTGGCCCTGACCCACTCTGGAGGCGGGGCTGCACCTGGGAGCCCCATTTCTCAACCCGTTTCTAGCTCTACTTGACCCTTCCTGCAGCCAGCCAAGCAGGGGGCAGTGTCAGGGGGTTGGGCTGTTGGTTTTTTGGGATGGAGCCTTGTTTTCCTTGGCTTTACCCCTCCCCCTCCTTTCCGGAGCTGCCTTTAGTGCTGACCCCATGTGCCTGCCTGCCCTTCCCTGTCTGTGACCTTTGACCTTTGGTGTTAAATCCCTCCAGCTGGGGCTCTTTGGCCCCTGAGTGACCCTGGTCCAGGTCCCCTGGGGGACCTCCCTGCTCCTGGCTCTCTTTTCGGGACACCTGCCAGCCCCTTCCTCAGTGATAGGGAGGGGGTATCCTGGGAAGCCAGACAGTGAGTCACCTCCATTCCAGGCATCACTGCGTTTGGGGTCAGTGGCTTTTAGGGATTTGTTGGAGCCAGGCCACAGCCTGTAGGATGAATGGGAAAAGCCTTTGGCCTGGGAGGCTGATGTCCTGGGTTCGAGTCTTGGTGCCAGATCCAATGGCCAGCCTCCTCCTCTCTCCTGGTCTCAGTGTCCTCATCTGTAAAACCAAGGGTTCAGACAAGGTGAGTTCCTGTGCTCCAGCTTCCAGGAGAATACTGGACAGCGGGTGGGAGAAGAGGAGAGTGGGTAAATCTAACAAAAGCCAACTTTCAATTATCTGTGGGTGGAATCAGTATGAATAACTGGATGCCATAGACATCTCAAAACCTCACTTTAAACAATCATGTGAACTGAGTCCCCCCAAAGCTTTTGTTTCTAAAAAGCCCAGCTGTGAACTGGTAGCCACAGCCATTTTTTCTGCCCAGGCTCCACTTGCAGGAAGCAGGAGTGGGGGACCGGAGGGTAAACTAGTCTGCTTGAAGACAAAGGTTGGCTAACCCTCCTCTTTGGGCCAGGAAGGAGGCTAGACCCCACTTCAGAGGCCCCAAGATTCCTTCCACCGTCTGCTGGCTTGGTCATGGCCCCAGGCAGTGGGAGGGTCTTTTGGCTACCTGATCCTTAGAGGGTCTGAGCTGTGGTGTGGAGGCAAGGATGTGTTTTCCCCATATTTTCCCATGTGTATTTCCATCTACCCACTGGACTTGCCTGGAATCTGAATTTTCTACTTGGGTGAGGGAGTACCACCAATGCTAAACAGTTTGGGGCAATCCCAGGATGAGGGAGGTGGGCAGCGGCTGTGACTGGGGGACCAGATGTTGAGGCTGGGGCAGGCCTCTCTTTGGGATGTATCTGGAGTGGGGCTCTTTGTGAAGCCTGCTGGGAGTTGAGGGGGGTTGCTGCTCCAGGCCTGCCCCTCCAGCCCCACGTGCCTCTGCAGCTTCCGGTATTCCGGGGAAGGCTAAGGAGGCCCCTTGCCCAAGTGGGAAGTTCAGATTCCAGAGAAGCCCTGAGTTGGGTGGAAGGGGGGTGGGTGGCACGGAGCACCAACTTTTCCAAGGCTGCAGGAAGCTCTCCTGAATCCCTTCTCTACTTAGGTTATGGTTTTTGTATTTCACAGTAGATGACTGAAGTCAGAGGGAGCCCCTCAAAGGTACTGGGGGGGTGGTCTTCCCTTGACCCAGCTAAGTGCCTCAGGAGTGGGGGGTTCTATGCTGAGAAACTCTTCCAGTTGGTGAGGTGTCTCTGGGACCAGCTAGAGAAAAAGAGCTTCCCACACTCTGTCTAGTTATCTCCTCTCCCAGGGGCTAAGGGTCCCCAGAGATGAGCTGAGGCTCTGTGTCTGGGTGTTCACCTACTGGAGGACACCAGGGCCAGTTGGGGGGGGGTGGGATACCCATTGCTGTACTAGCCTGCTGCCTGCCCTGGGTGTGGGTACCACAACCCTAGCAAAGCTCTTGGGACACAGCTGCTAATCCAGTGCTGCCGCCTGTGTGGCCCCACCCTGAACAAACTGATGGGCTGGAGGTGGGCCACTGCTTTGACCCCAGGAACAGGAAAGGACCTGGTGATGCTGGCGGCGTGGGTGTCTTCTGCAGGGGAACTGTGGGCTGCCCCAGGTTTTTCTCTTGACTCCAACTTAGCCTCGTAAGTCCTTGCTGTCTCTACAGAAATCCACTCTTTGGTCTCCAGGAAGGTGGGTTTGGTGGGAGCAGTGAAATAGGTTGAAGGGTAGCACTGGGGGGACATCTTTTTAAGGACCCTTGAAAAAAGTCCAACCAGCACAAATGCCTTCCACTGGCCTGGTGAATTTTCCAGGAACCTTCGTCCCTCACCTGAAACAGTTGGGTTAACCTTGTGTGAGAGACACATTTACCCTTACTTGACAAATGTGGAAAC